CACAACATAGGCCCTCGGCCTTACTCAGTCAAAGATCCTCACAAGCCCCTCAGGCAATAGTAAAACAGTATTTCTCAGCCCAAACATCATTTTAAAATATCATTTCAAGTCTTAAAACTGAGTAAACATGGCTGAGTATGAAAACAGTGGAAAATAACAGGACTGAGTTTAAGTTTAAAGTCAAAACAGTGAGGAAATATCAATGAAAAGCCCCGAAGGGTTCAAATAGTTGGCACTAGGCCCAAATATGGCATTCAGCCCAAATAATGATGATAGAAAATAGTTTTTAATCAAATACGCGGTAAAATCATCAATCGGGACGGACCAAGTCACAATATCCAATAGTGTACGACCCCACGCTCGTCATCAAGCGTGTGCCTCACCTCAACATAGCACTACGATGTGCAATCCGGGGTTTCAAACCCTCAGAACATCATTTACAACCATTACTCACCTCGATCCGGCTAAATCTCTAGCTCGCGACGCCTTTGCCCCTAGAATCAGCCTCTATGCGCGTCGAATCTATCCCAAATCAGAACGAGGACGTCAAAATATGCTAAGGGAACAAAGCCCAAGCGAAAACAATTAATAAAGGGCACAAATCCCGAAATTGCTCAAACCCGGCCCCCAGGCCCACGTCTCGAAATCCGACAAAAGTCACATCAATAGAATCCTCGTCCTCACACGAGTCCATACATACCAAGAACATCAAAATCGGACCTCAATTGCCCCTTCAAATTCCCAATTTACACTCTCCAAAGTCAAGCCCTAATTTCCCAATTCTAGGCTTTAATTTCCACATATTTCATGATTAAACAAGTAAGAATCAAGAGTTTATAAATCTTACCTCCAGGTGTTATGCCTTGAATCCCTCTTCAAATCCTCTCAAAAAGCTCCAAAATCGCCCAAAAATGGTGAAAGATAGCTTCAACATCGCGGACAATGGCTATTTAAACACTCTGCCCAGGCATCAAAAACCTTCTTCGCGAACGCGGTCAGAGCCTCGCGTTCGCATAGCACAAAAAACCGTTGACCAAAAACTCCTTCTTCGCGATCGCACCTTGCCACCCGCGAACGCGATGCTTCCACAGACTAAACCTTCGCGATCGCGTAACATTTCTCGCGAACGCGATGAATAAACACCCTGAAGCTCAGTTGCCCAATTCCTCTTACGCGAACGCGGTCCACTTCACGCGAACGCGATGACCAATCACACAGCCCTTCGCGGAGCCTGCCTTGCGAACGCGAAGGCTAAATTCCAGCCTTCACCAGCTAACCCTTCGCGAACGCGATGGCCTATCGCGAACGCGAAGGCCATTTTCTCTGCAACACTGAATCTGCAACTCCAAACTCCATGAAATGGTCTGATTGACCACCCGAAACTCACCCGAGGCCCTCGGGACCTCAACCAAACATGCCAACATATCCCGTAACATTATTCAAACTTGTACCGATCCTCAAAACATCTCAAACAACATCAGATCAACCAAAACACTTCGGATTCAAGCCAAACTTTCTAAAATCTTCTGAATTCCGCTTTTGATCAAAAACACAACCAAACCACATCTGAATGACCTGAAATTTTGCACACACATCCCAAATGACACAACGGAACTACTGCAACTTCCGGAATTCCATTCCGACCTCTATAACAAAATCTCGCCTATCAACCGGAAAATACCGAAATCTAAATTTCGCCAATTCAAGCCTAAACCTTCCACGGACTTCCAAAATGCATTCCGATCACGCTCCTAACTCCCAAATCACCTAACGGAACTAACCAAATCATAAAAATTTCGATCCGAGATCATATACAAACAAGTCAAATCTTGGTCAAACCTTTTAAATTTTAAGCTTTAAACTGAGAACTGTTCTTCAAATTCATTCTGATTAACCTGAAACCAAAACCAACAATTTACATAAGTCATACACCACACGGGGCAAGTCATGCCCGAGAGCTGACGATCAAAGTGCAAAAGCTCAAAACGATCGGTCGGATCGTTACATCTAAGTTACAGTTATATAATTAATAATAACAGAAAACATACCAGGGCCTCGTATCGCCCGGCGTATGGAACGTACCGACCGCCAGCCTGATGAATAGGGTTCCCGATAAAAAGTCGGGTAACGTGGCGGTACCAGGACAGATACCCCTCAATAGCCACCTCCTGGATCTGTGTAGGTGGGGCGGAATCATCTGATCTCGCTGGTCCCAAATATGGATCTGCACCGTCAACCATGCCATAAATGCGTCGTCCGCCCTGCAACGGTCATCCCTCTGATAATGTCTAGGGTCCCATATAGGCCCCCTCGGTATATACTGCAGGCGGCCAAACTGGCGAAGTACCCGCTCCGAGGCATGATGCTCCACAATATCGAGGCATATGAGCGGGGCAGAAGTGCTCCAAATCAATCGGCCGGCCCAGCAATAAGCTGGCAAGCCAGCTATCAAATCATCGATGTATGGCGTCTAGATGAACTATCAAATAAGAACACAAAACGTGAGTATGCGCAACACTAAGTTAATCTATACCAGGTAAGTTTAGGTACATATTTACCTGTGCGCCCTGCAGCAGATCCAACACATCCCTGCAGATGGGGAGATTATGATGAGCATCATACTCTCGTGAAAGTGTACGGCGCAGAACCCACCTCCTGGCTAGAGGGAGTTCCGGAAGTGCTCCATTAGGAGGTAATTGTGGTTGAGGTGGCTGAAACTGCAAGAACCGCTCCCACGCCCTAACCTAACATAGAAAGTTGACGTTAGGTTTAAGATAAATTCTAACTAGGTAGAGTTGGAACTGATGAACAGATTATTCGAATATGTTGTCACCTGTAGAAGCGGCAGAAAACCACAAACATCTCTCTGAGTGCCCATGCTCGCCCGGCACATACTCCTGTACATGTAGGCGAGAACAGTAGCACCCCAGCTGTAATAGGGTAACTCATCTAGCAGCTGAATATGATGAAGAAATCTCAGGCTGACTAGGTTCCCCGAAGTGTTCGGGAACCAGACCCCTCAAAATAGAAGAAGCAACAACAACCTCGTATACCGGGTAATATGTACCTCCTCTGTATCGTCAGTGATAATGGGGTGGAGTACCTCCAAGTATTTTCTAATAGGGGTCAAAGACAACCGACTGGCACCCGACGAAAATGTCTCGTCCTGTGGCCTGAAACCCGTGAGCTGCTACAGCATGTCCCAATAATCATCGCGCGACATAGATCTCATAGCAATAGGCAGTGAAACGGCCATGCCATCAACGGGTATAAAACCTCCACGTCCTGCAGCGTGATGGTGGCCTCGCCAATGGGTAGGTGAAAGGTGTGCGTCTCCGGTCGCCACCGCTCAATCAACGCCGTGATCAAAGCCCAGTCGAGCTGCATCCGCCCGATCTCAATAATCCTATAAAATCCTGTATCCTGTAGGCGCTGGACTACAGGCTCGTGGAGATCTCTGGGCCTCAAAAAATCCCACAGGTTGTCAACTCTCCTAGCGCGGAGAGTCTGGGACAGTAACTCCCCGTCCCATATATGGGCGGACCTATGATCGCCCTGTAGCACTAATATCTCACGAGAGTAAGGGCCAGGATGTATAGGCGGCGCGTCCATGTCGTCAACTGTAAATTAAACAACATTAATTGTATGGTTAATTATTTAATTGTACAAAGTATATATACCTATTGGGTTCCAGGCTCGATATTTGAGGTCCAGTAGCACCAAACTATGATGAATAATTATGTGTGTCAAATTCAATATTCTGATAATTTTGTGTGTGTTTGTTTTATAATTTAAATTCTTAATTTTTAATTATTTAATTGTACAAAGTATATATATACCTATTGGGTTTCAGGCTCGATATTTGAGGCCCAGTAGCACCAAACTATCATGAATAATTATGTGTGTCAAATTCAATATTCTGATAATTTTGTGTGTGTTTGTTTTATAATTTAAATTCTTAGTTTTTAATTATTTAATTGTACAAAGTATACATATACCTATCGGGTTCCAGGCTCGATATTTGAGGCCCAGTAGCACCAAACTATCATGAATAATTATGTGTGTCAATTCAATATTTTGATAATTTTGTATGTGTTTGTTTTATAATTTAAATTCTTAATTTTTATTTAATTGTACAAATTATATATTTTCATCTACCAATATAAGCAATACTTAAACTACGGGGATTCTACGCTAAAATACTCTACAGTTTACTACGCTACAAGGTTCTACAATTTACTACGCTAATAAATAATCTAAACTAAATATAAACAACAAATACATTTTGATCACATAACTTCACAAAAATACATATAACATACTAGTTTCACAAAAATAAAACACAAAGCGACATGGAAACAGTAATATCTAAATCCTGATATTAACAGAAAAAATTATTTCTCAATTTTACATATTTTTTAGAACACTAATATCTAAGTCCGGATAAATATAACATACTAGTTTCGCAAATAAAACACAAAACGACATGGAAACACATTCAATCAACTAATAAATATGCATTATTATATAAGTTTCGACATAAAATAAATCGAAATACCTCGATGTAGTATTTTGTGTGAAAATTTGAGTCCGAAAGAGTGAAGGTGGGGCCCACAATTTTATTTTTTTTAAAGAAGACGCTGGGAGGGGGGACCAGAAAATTCTTCAAAAGTAAAAAAGTGGGGGAGGGAACGTTCAGGTCGGGAAGAAGACGAAGGGGATTATTTAATTAGGTATATAGCGCGCTGTATTTGTACGCTATAGATAGCGTAAAAATACAGGACGCTATACCTGTGTCAGTAAATGTCAGTATATATAGCGCGAAAACACACCACGCTATACCTTAACGGCAAAAGTTACCGTTAAGGTATAGCGTGGTGTGTTTTCGCGTTATATATATAAATGTAACCTTTTTTTTTACACCTATTTACGTATCTTTTGTCAAAAAATACAACAAAAAGATTCCGGACTTGGAAACGGCAGTTCAAACACCCAAAATATCTGTTTAAAGGCAACTAAAATTAACCATATTAGAAAGCGTTCATTTAAACACCCACACAATGTATAACGGTAAAAACTTGTACAATTTACCCCTGTACTTCAAGAGTAAAATAGAGGACCCTTAAAAACACTCAAAGATGTACGTCACGGCCTTTTTTTCTTTACCTTTTTTTCTGCTAATTTGTAAGAAATTCAATTCATCTAAAATCCAACTCCTATAGTACATCTGAAGTCATCTTCAGGGAAATTGCAGAAACGTTCCCTCGATTCCCCACCAGCACGTCCTTCGTCAGGTTAGTACTTAGGCAGAGAACCCCAGGGTCCAGCAGCCACACGGATAGTAGTTCAAGCGGAGACGTTCTATGAGCCTTCCGGCTTCCGGTCCCCGACGGTGCCACAAGTTTAATCTGTAGTGGGTAGGTCAGACAAGCTCAAGTATAAACCTCTTTCATATTCTGTGTACTGCATTAAAACGTGAAGGTTTCATCATCACCAGAAAAAGCACTCAACTTTGCAGCCGCTAGCCGTGGCCCGGACTAGTATCTTGTTATGAGACCCTGAGTAGTAATATTCATCAGCATAATCTTTTAAAGTACCAACAATAAGCTGGGAAACTCTAAAGAACTTCAAAATTGGAAGAAAACAAAAAGACACTAAAGCGCAAGACACCATCTTGATGATGCAATTTGAACAAATACAATTAACAGCCTGGAATAAGTGTAATAAATACAGAATCGAGATGCATATTTGTGGCATTTCAATTAACTTAACAACGTGAAATGATGACTCCTATCTATGCACTTTAACCACACGCAAAGTAAGAGCTATTGAATACTTCAAAATTTGGCAGAGATGATCATTAAAATCCAACACTGTGAAGTGATTCAAAGCATTAGTATGACCTACTAGTGATACTCTGGGAAAAGTATACTTGCTTGTTTGCTTGATATTCACAGGCAATCCAGCTCACAATCTTCACCAAAACTGAAGATGTTTTACCAAAGAGAACACAAAGCATATGAAATACGGAGTTCTCATTATCCCGAAGAAAAATCAAAACAAAGACAGACGGATAAAGAGCCCTGATAAGACACGAGGCCGATTTCCCTTTCACCCATTTGCCACAGCTTCATGAAGCTAACCAAGGAGCTGTCTATTATGTCATACTGAAGTTGCTAATATACACGTCATTTAACAAATGTTCCACTAGGAAAATCTAGTTCAGTCCTTAAATATCCCTTGTTGGGGACAAATTATGTTCCTTGTATCCTCAGCGAGGAATAAGTTCTTAAAGATATTTTAATTTACAACAAGATTACTATTTACATTGAAATACAAATTAAAATACTGCAGTACGCCGGGACAGCATTATACTCGAACTGGTTTTCTCCAAGTTCATAGCCTCAATGCCATTTTATCTGACTTTCATCATCAATAGACTCGTCTTCATGCACTACTTGTCCCCCCCCCCCCCCAAAAGGCACCACGAAAGAACACGGCAAAAGCACCATCTGACAGTACTCTTAAAAAGTCTATTGAATATTTCCAATCACAAGTGTCCATATCTCAACATACACCACAAACAAATTTTAGGAGACAAGAACTGTTGACAAATGAAATATACCTATCACCTTTTCCTATCATCAAAGTTACTAGCCTTCTAAAGCATATGTTGGGACCTGCATTAAATTTACAAGATACCAATGTGAGTAATAGATATAAGTTATCCCAGACTAACAATATTCACTTCAATTTCATTGTACCGCATCATGGCATTGGCTTATTTTCTCAAGGCATACGGAGGAAAGGTGGTCATATGGAGTCACTAGAACCTCTATTGCTTGAGGACCACCGACGAGGGGGCATGCATAAAAATGGATTTTGTTTTTCCCCCCACCCAATGAATCCAAAGTTAGTTCTGTACTCTTCAGTTTCATTTCTTTCTGTTTTCTTTGTTCTCTCTTTTGTTTACTTGACTTAACTTTATTGGCTGTATAAATGTATGTTTTACTTAAAGTCTTTTCTTTTCTCCTAACAGTGTTCTCACCTACAAATGTCTCTTTCCTATCAGTCACTCAGTGGTCCCAATCAACCAGAAAGATGACCGTGGATGAATATTTAACAAGCAGTCTTCAGTAGGAAACTATGATTTTCAGTTTAATAAAGCATAAGAATAAGTTTAATTAATATGGCCAGTGATTGATCACAAACACATCTTCCATAAAGGTTTGAGGCAATAGAGAGACATACTGGAATAGAAATTGGCAAGCTAAATACTCGTACTTCTTCAGAAGAAAACAGTTACTGGAATTTTGGAGCTAAACTGAACAAGGCTATTTGCATTCTCAAAAAGAACTAGACCCTTACAAGAATTTCTAGGAGAATAACCATACTATGCCTTTTTATTAGTAAATTAGCAATTTAACTTATCCTAGGCAATCAAAAACAAAATTTGATCTATCAAATGACAATCACCGTCTAAAAAGTCAATTGCTGGTTTAAAAAACCTCTACTCCTACTAAAGTCGTGACCAATAAGACTCGAAAAATGTAATTACAAATTCAACTTGGGTCTTATAATACCTCGACAATGTTTTCAACAGGAGAACAGGATATTGTGCGACCCAAACCATTTGAATTGTCATATTGGAGAATCCTCAACTTCCCTTCCTGCAAAATTTAGGAAAATAAATCATGATGAGAATTTAGAGACGAGAATAGATTTATCTTTAGAACCAAGAAACATAAAAGCTCATAACAAGTCATTGTTTACCTTGGTTCCATAGACAAGGCCACCACCAATCGAAGGATGGAAGCAAGCGACATTAACCTCATCCTCCGCACTGGGGAGAACTCTCACAAGTTCCATATCAGAAACTCTATAGACCTGATTTGGAAAAGTACAAGTTGAAAACTAGAAAAAGCAGAATATGCAAAAATAGAAGGGGAAAACCTCTCCTAAAGCTGCCAACACACAGGCATCCAATTTCAAGAGATCGATTTAATACTAAGTTGCCCCAATTTAACTAAAGTGCCACTGGGTTCCTTCAACTTCTAGGGTTTTTCTTCACTTCTCAGCTTTGACCTTTAAGGGCTTATTTTACTTGCATGACGTAGTTGTATTCGACTTAGCTCTTTGAAGCAGATGTCTAATTAAATTACAAAAAATGCTTACTCATAAGCAAGGAAGAAGGGCTGATTTGCATTAATTAAGTTGTTCACGATTACTTTGAGAGGGGTTAGTCAATCAATCAACTAGCATCAACGCGGAACTTGTTGGGGTACATTAGATCAATACGTTAATCTATTAAGTGGACATATTTTATACCATTACTAAATAGTTTATCTTTTAAAGCAATTAGACGTTCTCTAGATCTCACACTTATCTCTACACAGACACACAAGTCTCTAACTAGTCTAAGACAATCCCTGCTAGGTTAAGTTTAAAAACAACTCAGCACTAATTCCAAGTAGTTGATATCACATTAATCGATCAGTTGCTTCCATTATGTTATGTTCGTAATCAAATCCGTATTAATTTAGAGAAATTCTAAGTCTCGAGATACGACTTTCCTCCAAGTAGTTTTAGGTCTACCTCATCCTGCTTTAGTACATTCACTCATCATACATCAATGCCCATCTACTTCCTATCCTTCCAATCACATCCCACTAGACCAGACAGAGAGGTCATGCAACAAAAGGTTAGTATAAAGTTCAGACTTTTACTAGTTTGAGCAACAAGGCTCAATTCCCTTATACAGCCAGTTAATGCTGTTGAACAACCTCAAGTTCCCTGGCTGATATAGCAGGCCCACAACCAAGGCCTCAAAGGATTAAGACATGCAAAGCACAAGACACAAGCTACATGTGTTTCCTGCTTCATGTTATCATCCATTTTAACATGAATCTAAAGACCTGCAACAAGCATGCCCAACCCAATGGGTAAGTTCAACCCTTGTCAACATTGTAATTACACAAGTGCACCAAACATTCTAGTATATTGCCATGAAATGGGATCAAAGTTCAAAGTAGTAAGTGGAAGTAAAGTATCTTTGTGGAATGATAACTGGCTAGGACAAGGAACCTTGAAGGGTCTCTTCCCTGACATTCATGAACTGAATCACCAACAACAAGCAGTTTTAGCAGAGGTTTGGACAGCCCAGGGATGGAACTTCACCTTCAGGAGAATGTTAAACGATTGGGAGATTGACAGACTCATTGAGTTCTACAGGGTCTTGGAACAGTTCTCTGGAATCAATGCAAACCAAGATCTTATCATGTGGCAAGGGAATGGGCAGGGAAAGTTCTCAGTTACGAGTGCGTACAAAGAATACAACCTTTCTAACAATCAAATCAGATGTTGGCCGTGGAAGATGATATGGGAAGTCAAAATTCCATACAAGGTCACTTGCTTCACATGGTTATTGGCAAAAGATGCAGTCCTAACACAAGACAACCTAACAAAAAGAGGATTCCAATTGTGCTCTAGGTGTTACCTATGTGGGGAACAAGCAGAGACAATCAACCATCTTTTTTTGCATTGCAAATTCACTATTCAGATATGGAGGATTTTCATTAGTCTAAGGGGAATCCCATGGGCAATGCCGGGAGGAATCCTTGATATTCTAGCTAGCTGGAATAGAGAGGGAGCACTTTCAAGAGACAGAGAGAAATGGAGAATTGTCCCAGCTTGTATATGGTGGACAATATGAGAAGAGAGAAACCAAAGATGCTTTGAAGAAAAGTTCAACAACATCCAAAAGATAAAGATGAAATGTGTAGCTCTTTTTTATTTTTGGTGTAAAAGAAAACTTTTGGAGGATCATGAATCCATCTTAGATGCCCTAGATTCATTGTAAGAACAACAAGGGTGAACAGTGTCTTTTTTTGTTTAGTTTTGTATGGACACTCACACTGTAATTATGGGTGACTTCACAATTTCAGTGAAGTCTTTATATTAATATACAAATTGTTACCTTCTCAAAAAAAAAGTAGCATAGTTTAACAGTTGATTTAACTATTATGTACCGACTCCAACCCATTTTTCATTATATAAGGCTAGTAGATCAAATACAGAAATCTATTGGTTCCATTAAACTTAACTATATTCTGTGTTTTCAATGATTTCTACATAAGGAGGCAAAAGATGATATCTTGAGCATTTACATTTACAGGACTGCGACCTAACACAAATAGATGCTTCAGAAGTTCCATAAAGATTACTTCTCAACACAATTTTCAAATCATTTAATTCTCATGCATGGATTCTTTATTGTCCGTTAGGGTAGAATATTCATGTGGGATTTTCTTGCGGAACATGTTCCTTCTGTTTCAAATATAAGAAAAGACTTGGTAAAATATTTGTTTCATAGAGAAAACACTATATCAAGGAACTTGAATTTCTTGAAATTTCTACAGGTTATTAAAAATATTATGATAAGTAGATCAAACATATTTAGATGCCCAAAAAGAAAATGTGCAACATAAACTAAGACAAGTATCAATAAGTGTTTACATAATGTAGCTATAAAGACCAATGAGAGTAGTACTATAATAATTTTTTAAGCCCGACATAAGATGGTTCTCACCTCAAGAATCGTGTAAATGGGTATAGTTGTGTCTCCATCAATAACAACACTTTTAAGTAGTGAACTATGGCGACGCCCATAAGCAAGTAACAGATGCTCTGAAGCTGGAGAAAACTGCAATTACAATGGATGTGGAGCCCCAATCAATGTCTCAGATCAGTAAGCAACAGAGCAGTCCAAAAAATACAAAGTTAATTATTATGTGTTAATGATTGACCCCTTTTTTTCTTTTGGAGAAGTTATGTGTCAATGATTGACTAATTTCACAAAAAGAAGAATTAAACAACTTGTGAGATCCATCTTGAAGTCATGCCAAATTCAATTTTTGCATATTGTTTGTTAACTACTATTGTAATATTTCGCCAGGTACTGGCATGAAGTAATATGGATCAGAACTTCTATTCTATTGATGGGTATATGTAAAGTGCTATGCAAGCTCGATTATACAAGTCAGAATAGTATCCGTAGATGTAAAGAAATCTACAATATAACAATGTCATGAATGATGAAACTCAATAAAGACTTGACCTGATGAACAACACTTTATGAATTAACCTCTCCTGTCTCCTAATTCTCTCTATCATTGTCCACTTTTTCTCCCTTCTTTCTCCCTTCTCACTTCTGGTACCACATAAAAAATAGATACATTTCATAGAAAGGCTTGTAATTTGCATATAACTTTTTGTCAGGAAAGGAGGACCGGCTACACAGTAAAATACTGTGACATTCCAAACTATGGAAGACAAGAAAGAGTCAATCTACCACTAGGTAAGGCAACTTTCACATAAAAAGCAGATGTCGGTTCTCAACGAGAGATCAGCATCCTGTGCCATCTATAGATTAACAGATCTTATCATAATCACATGCTCAATCTCATTTTAGATTTTCATTCACTAATCGAAACAGAAGAGAACAGAACCCCTTCCTCTACTTTTCTCTTCCAAATAGATCTAATATTTTTCCAGTTCCTACAAGTTCTAAAACAAAATGATCAAAACTATTAGATCTAGAGTTTTATTTCCTTAGTCAAAAAAAGGCAAAGAGAAAGAAAAAGATCCAGAGTTTAATATCATAAAGAATGTTCCTTCTCTACCAGAAAACAAGTTTGATCTTACAAAGCCATGTATGTAAATGACACAAACAAAGCATTTACCTGAATTGAAGTTAAACAATGAGCAGCTCTAATTGCTCGAGATGCAAGCACTGAACCAAACCTACACAAGGAGAAAGAGTATCAAGTAACCAACAACCATAGCAGGAACCGAAATAGAGAATGTGGATAAAATAGACAAAAAGGAAAGAAAAGGGAATAAAAGAAAAATAGAAGCTACTGTGATTGGGTATTTACGTTGCCTCCTCCAGGGAATATATCCGTAGCTCATACATAACCTGGTGGGCAGCAACTGGATGTCTGGTTGGAGAAGTTCCAGCTGCCATAGTATCATGATGAAGATGGCCATGAAAACCAGGATCAGCATCCACGTTTGGCAGAATACATGCAACACAAGCTGCTAAAAATCTCCCACATGGTGAAAAATGGGCTCCCATTTCACTGAAAATAATACCTCACAGTAAGCATTCAGAAAAGTTCATCTAAAACCATATCTGAGTTCTGACATACAAATTAGGAACTCTCAAAGGCAGGAATTTTTCTGAAGTATACGGCTAAGCTAAGTTGCTCAGACATAGGTGCTGGTGTCCGACACGGGTGCAGATCTAGAGGCCGGATCCTTCGAGATGTAAATTCTAAGACTCGGGAATACGGATCCTACTATCGATACAGGAGCGGGGATCTAGCTGAAAATAAAAATAAAAATAAAAATATATCTCTAAATTATGATAAATTTTTTGGGATACTTACATATAGCTTGTAAAGTATGTTTTTTTTTAATAGTAAGGATTGATTTCCTAGATAAGGTATGCTATTTTCTTTAAGTTTACCCTAGTTTTGGTTTTGATTTCGGGAATCAAATTGTATCTCATTTCGAATTTTCCATCCGTGATGGTCAAAGTTCCCAAAATTGTTTGACCAAATCCGGCACGGATCCCGTACCCACACACATACTAGTGTCATGTCGACACGGGCGCGGCACCTAAACTGCCATGTCGGAGCAACTTAGGGGCTAAGAGGCTAACCATCAACTACTCTAATAGAAATATTGTCCAAGCTAGATCATCATGACAGCTTAATAGCTCAGTGTCTGTAAATGCTTATCCATATCAAGCTTCCAAGCCAAAGATTTGAAACAGTAGATATCATCCCCACCTGCAAAGTACAGCATGTGGTATTGTTAAGCGACATCTTTCAGCATGAAGGGGTGCACATGGAACCTTAACATCATGAGGCCATATTCTGAGTTTCACAGTGCAAGGCAATTCAGCAGCCGCTGCTGCAGCCAGCGAAGTAGCTATCTCCGACTGGATGCGACCAATAGAAGTTTGAGAATCACTCTCATCATGCATAACGTTAAGCGAAGCAGCACCAGCACCAGCTCCAGCAACAGGAATCGCTCTAGAGCGTGAAGAACGCTGCCGAGAACCAGATCTTCCGGACCTTGGATGATTATTGCTTGAAATTACCAAGGGAACAGCAGAAGGATTTTCCAGTTCACCATAAGTTGATGGATTAGTGGTAGTACCACTAAGGTCTGGATGAGTTGCTTGCTGGGCAGCTTGGCTTTGGCCAATCAACCATCCTTGCAAAAAAGGCAATTCCCAGTATGCTGGGTCACTAAAAGGGAAAAACTGATTGTTTCTTTCTTCTGGCTGCACATCAGTCTCCATAGGATCAACTAAAGGTTGAGTACCTATGTTCTCGTTTTCCCCAACAGAAGAACCAGTATGAGCTTCTTGTGCAGGAGATGCACTTTGCTCAACAGGGGACAATAAAAGTTCATACTGGCCGGACGGAGTTGAATATGTGAGAAGGCGGACAGATGATGAAGTATCTGTTCTGTGCTGTACATTGTCGGTTCCCATATCTATATCAGTTTGCTGCACAGGCATTCTGGGATCACCTCTTGCAATTGACGGCCAGATCAGGAAAGGTAGAGACATGATAGGCAGTTCATTTGCTGAAGCAGATTGATAAGTGGAATGAGCATCAGTCAAATACACAGTAGGGGGAGGGTACTGCAAGTTACCCGGAGAAGTAGCATGTGTCATTGAAGAATCTGATGAATCCAGATCGTTGACCTACAAAATAAAGGGTTAATGGCAGCTAAAACAACCAAAATTCACACTTCAAGTCACCAAACACAGAGTAATACCTCAGCTGTCAAAAGAAATGGGGCAGCATGTGGGTGGAAATGGACAGCACGAAGAGAACGCCGTGTCTTCAGTACAATTGCTGGTGAAGAAGCCTCTCCTCTTCTGTTGTAATGCCATATATAAAGCTGTCATCGATTGCAAAATCAGCACCCATTACCAGAGCTTGGAATATATCACTCAAGAGAATGTTCTCAGGCCAGAATCTTTACCTTGTGGCCTGAAGCAACGGCTAGAACTTCCCCTTGGGCATGGAACGCTATGGATGCGATGGGACGATCTGTAGGAGATGAATATTTCACCAGTTATAATAAAAAGAAAAGAGTAAAATGCACACAGAGGCTGATCTATAACTATCTGTATGTGAACCCAGTTACTATTGTATATTAACTTGAGATCTTTCTAGGAACCCATATACTTCAAATCCTGGATCCCCTCTGTGCACACAGTTTTTTTTTAACTACTGAGATATTACAGAGTATTACAAAAATCTCGCGATCCTATACACTCGGCAGTTTTTGCATCCCACAACCGAACTTCGTGGTCCAAACTTCCACTTGCCAGTATTTCAGGGTACAATGGATGGAAACGAACCTACAGATGTGAACCAGAATGTAAGATCAAGGAACAAAGGTGTTATGCCAAAACATTCAGCAAAGAAAGACAGCCTTACCACCCAAGGTGTCCTGCGGTGTCCACTCAAAACCTTTAAGCACTTCCCAGTTTGGCAGTCAATTATTTTCACTGTGTGATCTCCACTGCCACCACAGAAAAGAAATTATATGTTTGTAAACTTACCAAAGTAGCAAAATTCTAAGTTTAATCCAACCGGAAACAAGTAAAATTGTTGTCTGTCTTATCTATAAGGAGGGAGAATTCACAAATAGCTAAACTACAATTTAGCATATATCCAAATATGGTTAGTTAATAGGTAAGTTTGCAAGATGCAGAGAGCTAGACAATTAAGATAATAACTACGATTATATTAAACAGATGGATAGAAACTAGCATAAGTGCATAACATATCACATATTGTACATGTCTATGTAATCTAAGAGAGACTTACTGCGTAGAAGCAAGTGTCCTCTCATCAGGACTGAATGCTGCTGCAATGGTAGACCTTGGAGGAGGCAACAGTGGACAATACTTCGCCGATAAATGTTGCAGTGACTCTGCCTCTACCCTGCAATATTTAAATGAGACTGACGGAGAAAAAAAAGTGACAAGATTCTATCAAACATTACAGGGAAAAAAAGGGAGCTTAGAGATTATGAAGTTACCATGATATTAGTCCCCGTCTAGCATCACTTGCCACTTCGCGTTTTAATCCACAGGAGTCAGTAGTACATTTAGTGTTCTCACCCCAAAATTTTCTGGAAGCGCGTTTAGTTCGAGGAGATACCTCCCTTCTTGTTAACAGCTGAAAGACATTACTGTAGCAGGTAGAAAAATAAACCATATCAGCAACCAAAATAAAATCAGATAGCACCCTCATTGAGTATGCTCACAAAATTTTCTGGAAGCACGTTTGGTCCGAGAAGATACCTCCCTCATTGCATATGCTCAGAAATTACTTGGCTGAATGTTTAATTATTTAACCCTAAGATTCTAATATTCAAACCATATCTTAAGTATTATTGTACATTCCTACTACAGAAACCTTCATGCAAAATTGAAGTGACCAGACATAAGCATATAAATACTCGCCCCCAACGGGTGACCTAGCATTCAAAGCTCTTGTGTAAGAGCCTTGGAATCAAGGTGTGAATCCTAATAGAGGTGGCACTAGGTAAATTATTCCTAGCTACCTAAGCCTTGGTAGAAAGATTTACACGGTACCTATGCTACTGAAAGGTAGCAGGTATTCGATGAATTAGTCAAGGTGCAAGAAGATACAAGAGTGTGTGTGTATTCATTCTTATGGTTAGCTAAAAGCTCAGGAATCTAACTGCACCCATTAATAGCAACATTACAACTATTACACCCTTCAAACTTTAAATTATGATGTAAGGATTGTTAAATTTTTGTCAATCCACATAGAGAAAAGGTAACAAAGATGAATTACGAGCTTTAATTCACATGCGGAGGAGGTCAAATTCTGATTGTCATTGACGTTTTCCCAAAATTTTCCTCAAACTCTCGGTCACATGTTACTTTCTACCACAAAGTCTCTAACGAAGTTTTACGTTGGTTTTTCTGGCGATACGAACGTATTTATAAATTTTTTTTTAATTGAATAATGCAAATAGGTCAATGAGGTAGCTTATAACTATAATCATTACTTTCATTTGGGACAAGGAAATGAACTATAAATTACCTATAGAATGTTAGAATTGCAAAATCCAAGTCCATAGCACCATTTGAAACAATATCTAAAAGTACAAGATAAAGAGTTAAGACTTCTTTTTTTATGAAGATGGTGTCCGAGCCAGCTTTTCCTGAACCGAGGGTCTATTGGAAACAGCCTCTCTATCCTCACAAGGTAGGGGTAAGGTCTGCGTATACACTACCCTATCCAGACCCCACAGTGTGGGATATTACTGAGTATGGTGGTGGTGGTGGTGGTGTCCAAGCCAGCTTGTGCACACCTCGACTATTCAATCCGGCACTTTCTTGGTAACTCTTTCCACCAAGTATTAAGCAGACGAAAACTTATCACCAAGTTTTTATCCTCTGCAAGAATTTGAACCTGAGAGTTACCAAGCCTTAGGCAGATAAAAACTTATCACCTAGTGTTTTTATCCTCCGCAAGAATTTGAACCTGAGACCTCATACTTCTCCTCCATCTTCGTTGAGCACACCCTTGGGTGCAATAAAGATTAAGACTTGGTTACGCTGGTAAGCTTCTTTAGGTCCACCGTTCACTAAGAGTTACATATTTGTATATCAGCAAAAAATATAGAGAATTACCGGTATTAGACCCCCACTCGATAGGAAACTGTGGAGGTCGAGCATTAAGGTTGTAGGTTAGGAGGTAGTTGAGCATATTTCTAACTCTTAGACTGCTAATGGTCAATGTTATGTTCACTACTCTTTCGTTTACTGGTTATTATTTTTGCTTTCCATCTACTTACTAGTTCTTGTAATGTTATTATTTGTATGGTTTTTGTTGATGGTACTGATATATTGTCTCTTTTCATCCCCTCGGGTAAAGGTAAGGTGTGCCTACACAATACCCTCCCCAGACCCCACTTGTGGGATTTTACTGGGTCGTTGTTGGTAGTTGGTTTACCAGTATTAGAGAACCTAAATTATTGAATGTTGGATTAAGACTCTTCGAGATGGAGATAGAAACTACTAGTATTGAATTGAGGTATAGTAGTTGTTTCTGTTGTTATCATTGTTGTTGAAACTACAAGATGAAAACATCGCAATCATCGAAAAGCACACACTTAGACATCATGCCGTCATCTGCCGCTTCAGATCAATCATCAAATCTTAGTTCAATTCCAGGCATTAGAGATAGTTAATGAAGAAAAACCAAAATTTTCAGATCTGTGAATAAGTAAGTAACTAAAGATGCAAAATTGAGATAAAAATTAGGGTTTTAGAGATAGACCTGTGTTTACAATTGGAGTTTCGAGGCGCCGTCGCAGAAGGAGGTGAATTCCGCGAAGTTGACGGCGCACTGCTTGAATTCTCCGGCAAGACAGACGATCTCATGATTTCACCGCATTTCAGTGAACTTAAACAAATTTTATCGGAAAATTCAGATTGGTATATAGAAGAAAATAGAGGTTCGACTTCAAATTTTGAAAATGTCCTCGAATTTTGATGAATTTCCCGGGAAAAGAGAAAAGGACGGTGAGGATGTTGAGATCTTGCAGAAGGGCAAAATGGGAAGAGAAAAATTGGAGAAATGAGAAGAGGAAGAAGAAGACGTTAACAGGGGAAGGGCTGTAATATTTAGGCGCTTCGGATTTGGATTTTTCCGGCGTCGGACAGTAATATATTTGCTGATAAAAATCCTCGAAGGCGCGTGAAGTCACTATCTAACTTAAAAAATAAAAATAAAAAATCTAATTGGGAAAAAACTTATATGGAAAAGAAAAAATATATGAAAAAAGGAATTTAGTAAATGGATATTCGTTAGTATTTTGTTTTACCCTCCATGTTTGATATTTGTATTGAAGTCCCAATTAATTTAAAATTGCGATGTAAAACTCCTCAAAGAGGAACGCTCTTTATCAGCATTACACGTGAGTCAGGAATTAAAAAATGATTATTAAGGCGAAGAATTTAATTAGCTCTAAAAATTGAAATCTAATTTCTCTAAAGCTATATCATACGTCCTCGTCTTCAAGTTTGTCTTACAATATTTACTCAATATTAACAAGATAAAAACGTCATTAAAATAATAAGAACAAGTTAAATTTTGAACCTAGACTTTTAAGAAAGACCCGACATATTATATAATATTGTAAATTTATTAGACGTATATTTTAATATTGTTTAGATATCAATTTGAGTGAGTTTTTACTGCATGAGCTTTTGTGAATTCATTGATACATTTATATTACTTGTTTTAGCATTTGGTGTATAAAATTATTGGACTGTCTAATATAAATTTGTAAGAGCATTTATATTAAGCGTAAGTACAAATGTTAAAGTCAAGCAATTATTATTTAAATATAAAAAGTGAAAATCTTTTCACGTCACGGTAGATAAATATGAAATTCACAGATTATATATGTTGTGTTATAAATAAAGTGAATGTATATGGATGTTCATTTAATCCATCCATACATTCTATACAATGTACTACTTGGATAGATGTACCTATTAATTCCTAGGATGTATCTAGTGAGTTTTGGGTGTATCTTGTATAGTATAAATAGGACATTCTTTGCCTATGGAAGAACACACAAGAAACACACTTGAATAAGATAACTTCTACATTCTCCTGCTATAAATCTTGTCTCTATTACTATATTGTTCTATTTTGCTTTCATTTCTTAACACGTTATCAGCACGATTATTCTAATCAACTGAAAAATTTACTTCAATCGGGTATATATAGCAAATCGAACGGGACAACTAGTTATAGTACATATGAATCAGTGTGTTGAAAGTAATTGGTGAATTTGCATGGAATGACTATAATATCTCTTTGTTATTTGAATGATTCACTACTGTTAATATGCCTTTCATGACATGTATATATTTATATTCAGAATATTTAAGGCATACTACTTGTTACATTTTTTTTTATCATGTAGATTAATTCTACTATTTAGTAAGATAGTTTTATACTATATTAAATTTATAAAAACTTGAATTTGTGGCGATCTATAATTATATTTCATTCTCTAAAGAGAATGAGATAATTTGTGATAAATATTATATGAGCGTAAGACAGTGGGTTCAAGCCCCACTGCACCATGAGGGTAAGACACCGGGTTCATATCCTGGTGCACCATGATAATAAGATGTTGGGTTCAAGTCCCATCATATTATGGCGTAACACGTCTCACATAGGTAAGACATTGAGTTCAGGTCCCAATGGCCCATATTGATGATATAATAATGGCAGTGTGAAAATGACACACTACCGCATCAGCTCCATTCCCAGAAGCGAATGTGGGCACGAATTTGACGTACGCCTGAATATTTTGTCAAACTTTATCAAGCCTCTATCAAAGGGAAACAAAAGAAAAGGTTAAGGCTCACTTGACCTTTCAAAATGATGTTGAGGCGGGCCCTATGAATAATCATGATAAAGTTGAAGCAAACATTGCCGATAAAGATTATATTTTTGAAGGCCTTGCAGATACTCATTTAGAAGTTGGAGAATTCTTTGAGCTTCATAACTGAAGACTTATTACGGGGAAAAATTAAAAGAATAATTTTTATGAAGTTCATATTTTTGAAAAAAAAATATTTTATGTTGGCTATATTTAATTTCCTAAGTATGGTTTCTTTTGTTCTTAAAATTTTCAATATTACTTATGATGTATTTTTTTTTTTCTTGAAGAATATGAAAACTTCTCAGTCTTCAGTTGACCGAATGAATAATAAAGAAGAAATATGTCTTCTGGATAGTGCTACGACGCACACCATATTAAAAGATAAGAGATATTTCTCTTATTTAATTATGAAAGAAGCCAATATAATTACAATATCTGGTAGTACAAAATTAATTGAGGGCTCTGAAAGAGCTACTATCTTACTACCAGGAGGAACTATATTGGCTGTTAATGATGCATTATATTGTAGTAGGTCTCAAAGAAACTTGTTGAGTTTCAAAGATATTCGCCAAAATGGCTATCATATTGAGACCACCAATGAAGGAAAGGTTAAATACATTTATATTACTATAATAAAATCGGAAAAGAAGTATGTGCTTGAAAAGCTTCCCGCATTTTCCTCCGGATTATACTACACTAATATTAGTGTAGTCGAATCACATGCCATAGTAAACAAGGAGTTTACTAATGATTTTATTATTTGGCATGACCGGTTGGGCCATCCCGGTTATAATATGATGCGCAAAATAATTGAGAATTCACATGGTCATTCATTGAAGAACCAGAAGATTCTTCAAACTAAAGAATTCTCTTGTGTTGCATGTTCTCAAGGCAAACTGATTATTAGACCATCAGTGATTAAAATTGGAGTTGAATCTCCTGCATTTTTGGAACGTATACAGGGTGATATATGTGGGCCCATACACCCTCCATGTGGACCATTCAGATATTATATGATTTTGATAGATGCATCTACAAGATGGTCACATATGTGCTTGTTATCAACCCGCAATTTGGCCTTTGCGAGGTTACTAGCTCATTACTAAGATTAAGAGCACAGTTTCCAGATTATGCAATTAAGATACCTCGTCATGATAATGCTAGTGAATTTACGTCTCAGGCCTTTAATGATTATTGCATATCAACTGGGATAACAATTGAGCATCCAGTTGCTCATGTTCATACTCAAAATGGTCTAGTGGAATCATTGATCAAACGCCTTCAACTAATTGCTAGACCAATGCTTATGAGAATAAAACTTCCCATTTCGGCATGGGGCCATGCTATTTTGCATGCAACAGCTCTTGTGCGGATCAGACCCACAAGTTATCATAAAGTCTCCCCAATACAATCGGCTTTGATCAGGAGCCAAATATTTCCCATCTTAGAATATTTGGATGTGCAGTATATGTTTCAATTGCTCCACCACAACGCACAAAGACGGGACCCCAAAGAAGATTGGGGATATATGTTGGGTATGAATCTCCTTCTATTATAAAATATTTGGAACCTATGACTGGAGATTTATTGACGACAAGATTTGCTGATTGCCATTTTGATGAATCAGTATACCTAATAATATGGGGAGAAAATAAGCAGCTGCAAAAGGAGATAGATTGGAATGCATTATCACTATCTCATTTAGATCCTCGAACAAAGCAATGTGAACATGAGGTCCAAAAGATAATTTATTTGCAAAATATTGCAAATCAACTGCCAGGTGCATTCACTAACCTACCAAGGGTGACTAAATCACATATTCCAGCTGCTAATGCTCATATTCGAATTGATGTCCCGGTTGGACAATCTATAAATACAAATGAGTCTAAGACACGCTTGAAACGTGGTAGACCAATTGGTTCCAAAGATAAAAATCCTCGAAAGCGAAAAGGAGCAAATGATCTAGGAGATTATAATATGGAGACAATTGCTCAAAGAGAGCCTTGTGACATAACAAATGATACGACCTCAGAGGAGGCCCAGGTACCTAAAAATAATAAGAATGAAGAGATCGCAATATGTTATGTCTCTACGGCAAAAAGGTGGAACCGAAATAATATTATTGTCGACAACATTTTTGCTTATAGTGTTGTTGTTGAAATAATGCAACAAGATGAGGATCTTGAACCAAGATCTGTCGATGAATGTAGACAGAGAAATAATTGGTAAAAATGGAAAGACGCTATCCAGGCAGAATTAGTGTCACTATAAAAACGTGAAGTATTCGGACGTATAGTCCGAACACCAGAATGAATAAAACTAGTGGGATACAAATGGGTTTTTGTGCGAAAACGAAATGATAAAAATGAAGTCGTTAGATATAAAGCACGACTTGTGGCACAAAGATTTTCGCAAAGACCTGGCATTGATTATATGGAGACATATTCTCCTGTGGTGGATGCAATCACTTTCAGGTATCTCATAAATTTGGCAGTCCACGAAAAACTTGATATGCGTCTAGTGGATGTTTTCATAGCCTATTTTTATAGCACACTAGATAACGAAATTAATATGAAAATCCCTAAAGGGCTCAAAGTTCCTGAAACAAATAAATATTTTCGGGAAACTTGTTAAATAAAGCTTAAAAAATTCTTATATGGATTGAAACAATAAGGGCGAATGTGGTATAATCACCTGAGTGAGTACTTGTTGAAAGAAGGGTATAAGAATGATCCAATTTGTCCTTGTGTATTTATAAGAAGGCCTGGATCTAAATTTATTATAATCGCTGTGTATGTTGATGATCTAAATATCATTGGAACTCCCGGGTAACTTCCAAAAGCAGTAGTCTGTTTGAACAAAGAGTTTGAAATGAAAGATCTTGGAAAGACAAAATTTTGTCTTGGTATACAAATTGAGCATATGAAAGATGGAATTTTTGTCCATCAATCATCTTATACCGAAAAGATCCTAAAGCGTTTTTATATGAATAAAGCACATTCATTGAGTACCCCGATGGTTGTGAGATCACTTGATATAAATAAAGATCCATTCCGACCTCATGAAAATGATGGAGAGCTTCTTGGTGATGAAACTCCATATCTTATTGCAATTGGGGCACTAATGTATCTTGCAAATAATACTCGACCAGATATAACTTTTGCAGTAAGTTTATTAGCAAGATTCAGTTCCTTTCTAACAATAAGACACTGGAATGGTGTTAAGCATATTTTTAGATACCTCCGAGG